AAAAGAAACGGAAAATCTCGAATGTGTGTAGATCTAAAGAAGCTAAATATAGCAGTGAAACGGGAATGTTACCAAATTTAGGTGATATTTCGCCTAAACTAAATGGAGCTAATTTTTTTTTCTTAATTGGATGCTACCAGCGGATTCTACCAAATTCTGTTAAGTAAAGAAATCTATCTACTCACGACTTTTGAGAGATATTGCTTCAAAAGATTACCTTTTGTTATAACACTAGCTCCTGAAATATTTCAAAGAAAGATGTCAGAAACATTGAAAAATATTCAAGGAGTCGAAACCATTTTCGACTTGAATATTTTGGGTACAGGAAACGGAATTCAACCCAGCAAAGAAAGGCTGCACCTACAAACTTAACCGAACTACATCGTATAATCGGCATGGTCAGCTACTTAGGCAAATTTTTACTGGATTTGTCTGAAATAATACAACAACTGATGAAATTATTAAAGAAAAAAGGGAACACCGTATAACTAACTCAAGCACCAATTATATCGTACTACAATCCAACCAGACCTACAGTAGTTAGCGCTGATGCTAGCAGTCATGATCTCGAAGTTCTATTTCATGAAATAGATGGCAAGTTAAAAATATAATAGCATTTATGATTTGCCTCACGCACATTCAGTAGCGTCGAGAGGAAATACACACGAATCAGGGAGAGAGAGACAAACAGAATGGAAAAAGAATTTTAACAGATTCCATGAGGCCAGAAACTTACCAACTCTAAATAGAGGAGATAGAATAAAAAAAAAAGATTAATACAAGAGAAATTACTGAAAAACTCAAAGCGGATATGTGTTTGATTTCACAAAGTGAGTGAGTTATCGCCCTTTGACTGTATGACAAACAAACTTTGATTTGTAATTATTTATTTTGTAATTTTGAAAAGTTGGAAATAAATTAATAAAGAAAAGAAATTACTTTAGCAGGAAGGATGTTTTATAACAACATAAATAATTTTGATTATTATTATTATTGTAAGCACTTCCGGTGCTAGTAGGGAATGCTGAGAACAAACAGATCAAGCGGCAAGCTTGAATAAATAATAAAATAGTTGTTGGGTTTATCACGTCTCGTCTTTGTGTTGCTACAGCTTTTCTACGGCCAGTTTCATATAATTTATCTTTCCACTCTAACCCCAGTGGAACAATGACTGCCATTTTGAGGATGGCGTTCTCAGTACTCTTAGTTATCAAATAGATGGAGGAGATCTTTACTTTACTTTTTGAGGAAATTTTCCGACAACCTGGACTTTATTAAACCCTGGATATTTATTTATTTCGTACCTTTTTTACGCTTTAAATGATTTTCCAAACTCCTTTTATTATAGTCCTCCGTTTATTGCAAGTGAGTCTGCAAACCTCTTTTTGCTTCTATTTTAAATTTTATTGCTTTATTAAATAATGTTGTTGTGTTCTTGCTCTTTCACTAACACCCGATTTAAGCGAACTTATAATAATCACCTTCTTTATCAACGCTTGATACAATAAGAAATGTTAAGCACATACATTAGATTAACAATAATAGCCTAACCATGCAAAATCATTGATTTTTACACAGCAACTATTCATTTTTCAACGTAATATCCTTCCTTGAGAAGGCACTTAATACAGTTGTGAATATTAATCATATAGATTAAACATTATGCAGTAAAAGCTAAATATAGCTAATAACTACATATCAAACTGCGAATTCACCATCATATATATATATATATATATATATATATTATTTATTCGAAAATTATAACATAAATATGTTATAAAATCACTACAAAAATAGCCATTTTGTTTCAACAATTCTGGTGTCTTATCAAGTGATGGTGTTCACCATCATTTGGTAAGACACTAGAAGTGTTGAAAGAAAATGGCTGTTGTTGTAGTGATTTTATATCATATTTATATGATAATTTTCAAATAAATAATTAAATTTGCTCTACTCTGTATTGAGCACTCTTTTAAGAATAGTATTTGTTTATTATTAGAATTTATTCCATAGTCACCAATCCTATACTTGGATATATATATATATATATATATATATATAACCCGTTATCCCCCGGGTCGATTTTGGGTTTGACCTCCTTGGTCAATTCCACGCTGTCCAAAGCTGTTGCGAGTCAAATATTGTTGGTTGGTTGCACCTCACACTGCCCACGTTGTGTCCTTGGTCACAGAGCTGGGCGAATCTATTAACGGCGGTACTTGATGCGTTGAATCAAACTTCCGTGAACTGGGCTATGTTGATAAAAAATAAAAAGTTTTTTTGTTTTTTTGCAGAAGACATGCAAACGAAAACAGAGACTTGGTTTAACTTTCGATTTGTTATTATGTAGTTTTTCGATGTACAAAAATTAACCCCTTCCCACTAGTGACACTTCCGTCCATCGGTGCAAATTTCTTGATGCATGCTTTAAATTTGGAAACTCTCTCGGCGGCAAGTCACGTGAGTTTCAGCAAGTTTAAATGGCAAGCTTAAGTATTAATGCAATACTTAAATGCAGCGATCAGTTTTGAATTCTTCTGTTGTTTATTGTTGCCTATTGCATGTACTCCACCCTATCTATTGCGATGAAGGTCCAAACAAGAGCCGTCCACAGGAGCGAGCTTAAACGCCTTTATACACACACACATATATATATATATATATATATATATATATATATATATATATGTGTGTGTGTGTGTGTGTGTTCAATTTATATTACATGAATTATTCATACAAAAAGAAGATTAGTAAAGTTAATGATATAAAATGGCGAAAACTCTACGCAGACAAAATCGAGTGGTTCGTAGGTTAAGGCAACTTAAAATTTTGTTTGCGAAAAGTTTTCGCCATTTTATATCATTAATTTTACTAATCTACTTTTTGTATGAATGATTCATGTAATATATATATATATATATATATATATATGAGAGTGAGGGAAAGAAATGTGCAATTTTCTTAACGCATATAATTAATGTTCAGCCTTTTATTGTAAGCAAGTGAAAAGAGATTACATGTAAATAAAAACTAACTATTGCTTTACTCACCGTAATAAGTTCCTTTAGTCTGATCATGGCGAGGCATAAAATCTTTCCTTCCGGTCGTGACAACCCATCCGCTACTAAATTGATACCCACAAAGGTATGGATGTTCAAAATTGCAATCGATTGAAAGAGCTAGAAGTAAAAGAAGCAGAATTCACCTTCAGAAATAAATATAACAAATACAGTTTGATCTTATTTAGGATTTGAACCTAGAGGAATGTGGAATAGGCGTGCAGAGTTCAAATTCAGAATTCGTCACTTTCACTTTCACTTTCACACAAATTCCTTGAATAAAGGTATGAATCTACCTCTTCTATCCCGAGTTAAAGGAAAACCGTCTGATCTGGTGTGATTTAAACAGGTCAGATGGCGATTCCTCCTAGTAAAAGAGACATTTGCTTTATTAAGTTTTCTTGAATGTACAGGCCAGTAGGCGAAATAAACACAGTGACACAAATACAGGCATCCACTAAAAATAATGGTTGAAGTGATAAAAATATGCCGTCTTAGGTATGACGCGTCCTGGGTAAGACGATAAACTACGTCCAATAGCAAGGCCTCTGATCAGGAGGTTTTGAGGAGCGTGGAACCACCTCTTAATTGCTTATGTTCCCAGGTCCAACATCACCCGGGGTGGTGGCGCCTCTCAGGGTCTTAGCTATGGGCAAATATTTAACGCCCCAAAAGGGGTCAAAACACTATGAAAGTGTAAAAAATAGGTTTTATTACCAGCAATATTTGTTTTGGAAAAATTACCAGCAGTATATTTTTGAAAAAGAAAAATATTATCAGCAATACATTTTTTGAAAAAAAATATTACCAGTAATAAAAATCTTATCGGCATTAAATAACCCACTGAGGTTGATATGCCGTAAAGCAAACCAAATGAAACCAATAAAAATGTGTCAAATTATAATTTAAAAAATCCTTAATTTCTTAAAATAATTTCACCCCAAGCAAGTCGATAAGGCCACTGAGTGTCAAGGGGTAACTGGAAGAGAATGTGAAAACTTTAGTAAGGAGACACGATGAAAATGGACACAAAAACATCAAAGAAGATGGCGACTTGTGTTGCGTTTAAAGAAGATTGTAGGTAGGAGAGAAGCAAAAAAAAATGTCCTCCTTGGTGCCTCGACTGCATGGATTTAAGCGTTTTACTGTTGAACTATAAATAAAATAAATAAATATAAATAAAGATAAATACAGCTGTATTTTCTATTCTAATAGTTTCTTTTCTCGCACTTTTCGCCTGTGGAAATCCTTTTCGATCTTTTGCTCCTTTGCCATTTCCAATCTTCAAAAATTTAAATGCAACAGCAATTGCAATGTTCTTTTATTGTCCTTTCTCATCACTAAAATCTTCTCATTCTCTTTTACCCCAGTCTTAATGGCATTATCGTTTTGCTTGGAGTTAAATGATTAAAAAAATGATCGTTTGTTCTAATAAGTTACGTTTAATGAAATTTTAGTGGCAGCATAAGAGTTTAAGCCATAGAATCAAAGATGGACTGAAACTAAAGAATTTTAAAAGTTTGTTCACAAGGATACGAGAGTGACCGACGTCAATGAAGTCCACTAACATGTAAAATTAATCAGATACAATCTATACTTACAACAATTCATTTCATCACTCATGTCCATACAATCATCTATCCGGTTACAAATATCTCTCTTTTTAATGCATTTGTTATTTTTGGCGCAAGGAACATGATCTTTGCTGCAACCTGAAATTTATGAGAGAAAAAAAAGTGAAATTTATGAGAGAAAAAAACTGTAATTTATGGAAGACAAAACTTTTACTTCATCTTTTGTAATAATTTTATCTTCAATTTTAAGGTTATTACATGAAGTATTTTAAACTATAAGTATTTTACGTGTATTTCTTTCATCTTCATCTTAATTTCATTTACTTTTTATTACATGAGTAAGTTGTAGTATCTTGAATTTCATAATGATTAAATAAAAAATTATTAATTTTTCCTTGTATTTTTCCTCTAATTTTATTTAATCAATGCAGTTAATCAGATATTCATTATAAATTATATATTACAATTTCAGACTTGTCAAAATGCATACAAAAACGGTATCCAGAAAGATTTTAATCTTTAACTTTACTTGGATATAAACGATGCACGTTGTCGTCTGCTTTTTCCATATCTTTGTGCACAGTAAAAATGTCTGCCTTTGTCAGATACATTGACAAGAACAACTAAAAAATCTAATGTTTGCGCTTTTTTAAATAATTTTATTTCACAAGTACCAATATAAAATAATTTCTGGAATATATTGAAGCCTTCTTATGTAAGAATTTTGGTAGAGTTGTATAATAGCATGGCAACAAATAATCACTTTAAAAAAATTTAATCATATTACTATTGATTAAGAAATACAAATCATGAATACCTATTAGATTATAAGTTAATAGACGATCCAATTTACTAATTACTATCAAAAAATAAATCTTGCAATCTAAAATGTAATTTCTGGCTTTAAATAAGCCATAGAAAACGAATCAATGAATAAATTTCTTAAAATCTAATTTTTTTTAAATTCAAAATCCGGAGTGCGTCATTGATAGTAATATATGATATAAGAAAATCACAATTTTAGAAATCACGTTTTACAATGAATTTACTTAGCAATTTAAAATTTACAATGAATTAAAATTTACAATGAATTTACTTAGCAACTTTAACCACCTATTAAATTTTATGATTTTTCTTTCATATTTGTGTTTTGGAGTGCTTCATCTAAAGTGATATGAAAAAAATATATATTTCTGGTTGAAGTGACAATTTTACAACTCTACCATAATTTTCTTAGTTGAAGTGAATGTCTTAATTTGCCTCTGATTTTAACTGAGCTTGAACATTGGCCAATAGGATATATACAGCGCTCTCATTAAACGAAGCAAGCTTTTCCAAAGTGTATAATGAATGGCGTTCGTTTAACCCTGTCCTGTTATTACATTCACCTCGTTTATCTCGTGATTAGTTGTAGAGCCACGCAGGTGTCATAAAGGAATTTCACATAAAAACAAATGAGATCAATAAAAAGTATATGAAATCATATAAAAAACATATGAGATTAATTAAAAACTTATATGGAAATCTATATCTGTGACTAATTAGAAATAATTTAGAAATTTGAAAATGTATGAGATCCTTGTGTGAAAAATTCTTTTTTTTTTTTTAATTTTGTTTACTATATATTTAGTTTAACTTTCTGTCAACTTGGGTCAACTGAATAAAAATAATAGTAATAACGTTGTTTAGAGGTTTGTATGTTTTTCTACTTACCAAGTGGAGGGCAAGAACCTGTAATTAAAAGGATGTTATCCAATCCGATCTGGCTCATATATTGACCCTTTATGTTAAACACCAATTGCACGGTTCCAGCTGTTATGAAAAACTGACCAGGTGACCATGAGTGTTTGGCCTGATTGATATGGGTCTTCCATACTCGAGCACCAGTCCGTTTATTATCATAAAATACGAAAATCTCAACAGAAGGAAATGACCTTCCGTTATAAGAAAATTGGACACAAGAATCGTTGACCCTTTGCCACGGTGAAGTCCAGTTCGTATCTCTACTAAATAAAATTATATGATAATCTGAAAGCAAAAGAAGAAGAAATCGTAATGTTTAGGAAAAGTGAGGAGGTAATGCCGATTAAAGGATAAAATGAAACTTGAATCCTCATTAGTTAACATTTTATTCACTCCGATATTTCGTCAGTTACTCTTGGCTAGCGTGGGTGTCAGATCCCTCATCTAACATGGGGGCCTTACATTCCCTCTGCGATGTGTGAGAGACTGCCTAAATACTTCTGAAGCGGTTGTTTATATATTCATCTGTTCAAAATTTTAATTCCCAAGCCTGTGAAAACAGATGCAAGTGCGAGGACACGTGATTTAACATTCGATGGCCGGGAATAACCCCAGGTCAGTTCTGCACTTGACTTTCTTTCTTTATAGGAAATTTGAATGGAATGTCTATTCCGGCATAATACCATAAAAGTCTATTTAATTGTTTAATTAATTCGAAAAAAAAGAAAGAAAAAACGATTAGTTTAAACTATCTTTATGAATAGATAATTACTTAAAGTCATAAATCTATCGTAACATACAGGTGCAGAATTTGATTTGTGTGGGCAGCGAGGTTAGCTGCTAGGAACGAGGAATCGGGGATCTGAGTTCAAATTCCAGTCGAGTTTGTTACATTCAATTTCGCAAAAAATATCCTTAGAAAATGCATTAATTTATTATCTGTCTATATTTTTGAGATGAGGTATTATGTACACTATTTACATTATTCGGACTATTGTCCTCATCTATGTTGCCATATTTATCACAACGTTTCGGCCTTTCAGTATCTGTCTATATTTTTGAGATTAGGTATTATGTACACTATTTACATTATTCGGACTATTGTCCTCATCTTTGTTGCCATATTTATCACAACGTTTCGGCCTTTCAGTATCTGTCTATATTTCTGAGATGAGGCATTATGTACACTATTTACATTATTCGGACTATTGTCCTCATCTATGTTGCCATATTTATCACAACGTTTCGGCCTTTCAGTATCTGTCTATATTTTTGAGATTAGGTATTATGTACACTATTTACATTATTCGGACTATTGTCCTCATCTTTGTTGCCATATTTATCACAACGTTTCGGCCTTTCAGTATCTGTCTGTATTTCTGAGATTAGGTATTATGTACATTATTTACATTATTCGGACTATTGTCCTCATCTTTGTTGCCATATTTATCGCAACGTTTCGGCCTTTCAGTATCTGTCTATATTTTTGAGATGAGGTATTATGTACACTATTTACATTATTCGGACTATTGTCCCCATCTTTGTTGCCTTCTTCAGGTGGTTGGAATGTCGAAATGAACACTTTATTTCGCTCGCTGGGATAGAATTTTCTAGTTCCACGTGCCATGTCAAATGGATGTCAGTTATCAGTTATCTGCTGTTAATTTACCTCTCCAAGTTCTCCACTACCATAACAAGTTACTGAACTCACAACGCTTTGGGTCCTGTCACTGGATCTAACCAACGCCTTTATCCACTGTGCCATGTGTCCTTGACGACATATGGCCTAGTGGCGACATTCCAACCACCTGAAGAAGGCCGGAGTGTACATCGGCCGAAATGTTGGGATAAATATGGCAATAAAGATGAGGACAATAGTCCGAATGATGTAAATAAGGCATGAATTTTATTCGTTTTTTCTTTCTTCTTTTTTGTGGGGTGGAAGCTAACTAGCTGGGCAAACTGGCCTCTCTAGTCGTGGTTGACAACCAGTCTAGAATAACAGCAACTCTGAGTCCCAAACCTTATGTAGTGCTGATGAAGTACATAACATACAGCCAATGTAAAGGTCATGTTCATAATTAACTACGGCGCGGATTGTGGACCTTTTGATCTGTATTGAAACCGATTAGGTAGTTAGGTAGGTAGGTAGGTAGGTAAGCAATGAAACATAAGTCTGAATCGAATTCATTACCAATCAGGAAAATTTGATCTAAGAGATGTTGAACTGTGGTAACCCCTCAAATAATTTTTTTTTTACACGGTGTCACATCAGAACACCAGAAGTGCTAGGTGCCTCAGAAGGTTGAGCTCATAGCTACTAAGGGCAGAATCGAACCTCAAAGAAAGTCGGTAGCAGCACAAACTAAAAGCAGGAAGACAAAACAGCTTAACTTTGATAAAATATAGACGCAGGGCCCACAAAAGGGGCGGTTGAGAAGCTCAATTTCTCGAAAGAAAATCAGATATTCGAAGAAGCACTCAAAAAATTAAAGTGAAATAAAATAAATAAAAACTCATTCCCTCAAATCCGGCGTTAATTTGACAGTCCAGAATTCCAAATTCAACTGATCTCCTTATTCTTAAAGCATATATATATATATATATATATATATATATATATATATGTATGTATGTGTGTGTGGTTTTTAACCATAAAATTATAATAAATAAATAATTATCGCTCTACTCTCGGTATCGAGCCCTTTTGGATTAATGCGGTGAACGTTGGAATTTATATATTACTTTCGTTCTCATCGCATCGGATATATATATATATCACCAAAATTCATATAAAGAAAAACACAAGAGGGGAAAAGCCACAGTTAATTGGGGAATTGAACAATATCAAAAATCTAATTTACGAAATCCTACAGTCGAAGAATATAACATCAATCAACTGACAGATTTTATCGTATATATATATGTGTGTGTGTGTTTGAGTGTGTATGTGCGTTTCTGTGTGAAGAATCATACATATTAGTATTCACTACAGATTAAGAAAGCAAAATAAAAATAAACGAAGATATCTCTTTTAGCGTTTCATATCATCATCATAAATAGACTTTTAATTTAATTTACTCTGTAACATTGTCTGAATTCTAGAGTTTTAGATATGAGAACAGCCATAAAAACATCAGATGTAGATTACACTGTGCTGAAACTGAAGGAACTTTTAGACAACGTAGTAATGAAAAGCAAGAAAAAAGGACTAACTACTAATTTCAAGAAATCAGAAATGCCTGGTCGTTAGCAAAAGTGACAGTCCAACGATTGAGCTACGTATTGGGAAAATCAAAACCAAACCGGTACAGAAATATAAATATCTGTGAAGTAACAGACGATAGAAAATCTGACACAGCAATCTGAAGATGTAAAGGAATAGAGAAAGACGATTTTCATAAACTAGGTAAAGTTGTAAAACGCTGAAAATATCATTAGAAAGAAACACATGCGCAGAGAAAAATAGTGCCGAGTTGCTGTGAAATATCTACTTTCTTCTATGGTAATGAATTCTGAGTAATCTTATCGCAGATGAAAAGAATTGAAAATAGAGATATGTATTTCTTTCGACGAATGCTAAGAATATCATGGACCGAACAGGTGAACAATGAGGAAGTCTTAAGGGAAAAGGGAACAACAAGGGAACTTCTATTTACAATCAGAAAGAGAGGGAGGTAAAATTTCTGGGATGCAAAATGAGAAAAAGGGCCCAGATAATTTAATACTCACTAGATATACTGACAGCAAGAGAAGTAAGAGGAAATAGCAAGTAACCTATTTAATGAATTTGTGTTACTGGCAGAACAAAGGAAAAAAAAAGGAAAGGATCAAAATTTACTTAAAAATTCAGGAAATTTTTGGCAAGCCATAACCACTCGTCTTGGAGGAAAATGATATATAAAAGAAAAAAGTGAGTGGATGGCAGAACAGGGACAAAAAGGGATATTAAAAAAATCAAAAGAGGTTATTTTGAGCAATAAAAGAGAGGAAGTTGTGGAGAGCAGTAATCACAAACATCATGAAAGGACATGACACAATAAAGAACAAGAAATGAATGAATGGTAGAAAAGTTAAAAAAAAAAAAGATGGTAAAAGATTTAAAATTATTTTGAGTAATAAGAAACAGGATATTGTGGAGAGTCATATTCGCCCATGTCCTGGAAGAAAATGGCGTAGAAAAAAGTAACAGAAAAAGGAACAAAACGAATAGCAAAATGATCAAAAGTTACTTTAAGCAATAAAAGACAGGAAGTCATGGAGAGTCATAATCAGTTACGTTCTAAAAAGACCTGACACAATAAAGAAGTGAATGGAAGGCAGAAAAGGGATAAAATTGGACGGTAAAAGATCAAAAGTTACTTTGAGCAATAAAAGACAGGAAGTCGTGGGGAGCCAAAATCACGCACGTCATGGAAAGAGATGGCACAACAAAGAAGTGAATGGAAGGCAGATAAGTTAACAAAAACGGATGGTAAAAATTTACTTTAAGCAATAAAAGATAGGAAGTTGTGGAGATTTATAACCGCTCACGTCCTGAAAGGACATGGCCAATAAAAGAAAATACTAATGCTTTAAGTTTAATAAAACTCATCTGAAATCTTGCCTATAAAATTAAATTATAAAAGTTAACACAAATTATTTTTCAAAACAATTTTTCTACAAACGATCTGATTATCTGTATTAAATGTTTACTGCACATGCGCGTTATATTTGAATGAACGAAACATCCGGTTTAATAAATTTTTTCTAAAATATCAGTACCTGATTTGCCGTTGGATTGTTCGTATCTTTCATATTGGTCTCTTTTCCCGTAGTATCCACAATTATTGGGATATTCGAAGTCACAGGCAATTGTTTTCGCTGAAAAAATAAAAAATAAAATAAATAAAAAGAACATCTTATTTCCATGCGGATTTATCAGCAATTATCACATCTCTCTCTCTCTCTCTCTGTCTCTCTCTCTACCCTCTCTCTCTCTCTCTCTCTCTCTCCACACAGAAAAACACACACACACACGTAGAAAGTAACGAACTGACGTACAATTAAAAGCTCAGCGTTACTTTTGTTGACTTTTTTATTCGTAAGAATTAAATTGACCCAGCTGTGGTCCTATGCTGGTCACGGCACGAGGTGTGGTGTTAGTTTCGTGATTACCACGCGCGTCTCCGACAAGTTATTGTCAATTCCTTCTGCACACACGCTGTGTTTGAAAGATCTACATAAGGGAGATGACACAATTCGGATGGAACTTCTGACGGTCTGAATAGTCGGTAAGAGTTGCTAGAATGGTCAGCCACTTAAAGAATTAAACCTTCGTTAAGAAATAACAATAATATTTATTGTAACACGATTTGTAAAAGAACACATAAAGAGTAGAAAATATGAATATCTGCCATTTGATTATTGAAAGAAGACAGTTCTTTTCAACAGGCGTTAATGTTGTCGGAGTTATCTCCTCCTTAGCGCCTTAACCCTGCACCAGGGGTCTCTCTCCCCTGGCTATAAATACTCACTGACCCTTCGCCTCTTCCTCTTTTTCCTCAGGCCTTCAGCCTTACCACCTCGCAGATGTGAGCGCTCACAGATACAGCGTTTCCCAAATTCTGGGAACACGCTAGAACAATGCACGTACGTACGAACAGTGACCACAACACACACACATAATATTCACCACACGCACTCTGTCCATTTAACTTGTAACCTTTCTTGTTATTAATACATATATTTGTTTACATATATTTATCGGTCTTGTTTGTTTTCTTTGCTTTCTTTGAACTTAATTAAAGTCCAACTTTCTCATGTAGTTGGACCGGCTAGCAGGAAAATTCTACCATGTATTCTTCTACTCTACATACTCATCACCGCCACGGTCTGCTACAATGTCGCCAAGTGGGAGAGAAAGAAGGACACGGTAAGAACTTTTATCGGCAGTGTTAGAAAATCCTTCTAAATAATTATTTCGACAATGTTTCTATTTATTACATTCTTATTGACCGACAAATCGTTATTTAGATCCCATGAACCAAAAAATCCTCTATTTGATTGCTCCTGACATTTGACCTTTAACTCTAAAGACAGCCAGGATGCTGTAAGTAGGTCAAATGCAGGTGCTGTGAATTTTGACAATCTACCTCGCAGTGATCTTTCAATATGGAAACTGACTACAGGAATAAAAATAAACAACAGGTGTCTTGAATTTTGACATACTCGAACTTATTAAACCCAGTGACCATTAAAATAATCAAATTGTGGTAAAATGCTTTGTTTTTAGCAAAATCCTATTCTTGATAGAAATGTATCAGAAAAAAGGAAGATTTTCTTAATATTTTTAGATGCCAATTAACAATCTCATCGTGTCACAAGTTTATTTTAACCTAAACTAGTCTCTAATCCTAAACGAGTCTTTTCTTCACTTGTAAAAAGATTGGCCAACATTCACTGCCATATAGAAACATTTTAATAATCTTTTCTTTGTTTCTGTTGCTTCAAATCTCTTCTTCATCTGTGAGGAGATTGTCCATCATTCACTGCTATATAGGAGGATTAATATTACGTAACGTTATCAGTACTCTTATCTTGGTTTCAAATTATTTTTTTCTGTTTCTTAATACTTTGCTTAGCTTATAGAAGACATCTTCTAATCCCAATGCAGCTTCAGATTTCAGTGTTGCACTTTCCAGATAATTGTTGTACTTGTTTAATTATGATAGCTTCAATTTGTAATGTGTATGTTGGGTTGTTCCTTTTGCTAACGACCATGAATTCTGCCTTCTTGTTATTAATATTTACTCCTTTCTTCTCACTTTACTACCTTCTTTACGAGTTCTAGTAGTTTTCATTTCTGCATCTGCTATAAACACTGTGTCATCTGCATATCTTATGTTGTTAAGATTGTGGCTGGCAATAATGAATCCTGATAGGACTTCTAATGATCTCAGGATTGCCTCACTGTAAAGGTTGAATAAGTCCGTTGAAAAGACACACCTTCTTACGTCCCTTTCTAGATTTATATATTTACTGAATTCATTTTCTATGCGTATAGTATAGGTTCTGGATTATTCTAATATCTTTCCCAAATATGTCATGGTTAACGAGCAGTTCCAACAATTTTTTGTGGTCTACTTTCTCAAACGCTTTTGCATTTGATTTTCATTAGGTGCTCAAAAGAATATTTTCAGGAAGCCATTATATCCTTCATTCCTTCCCAATTTGAATTTAATTGTAAATAAATTCTTTTTCTTCAATTTCACACCGAGTCGAAATCCTTTTCTTGTCCGCCTAATAACGCCACTTATTTTCGTTTTATTTTGTTCTATATTGGAATAAAAATTTCATTATTTTTTATTTAGTTGAAAAAAGAAAAGAAAACGACCACTAGTTAATAGGCATCTATTTGTTAATCGAATACTGATGATCTACAAGCAAGTTTGAGCTAGCAAATAAATGATTATTGAAATCTAGCATTTGACATTAATCTTATGAAACGATGTTTCGCGTATCTCATAGACAAGTGTCAGAACTGAAAGATTTACTTATGACGTCGGGGTACAATTAGAACGAAAAGGTGAAGTCGCCACACACTTCAGTTGAGAAGAGATTAAAGATTATGGAGAAATCAAAGAGCTACCATTGTGGATTGTAAATATATGCGAAATCTTGTCAATAATTATAACAATCAAACTAGTGAATAGTGCCTTATAAACGTAAATCTTTCTCAGCCTCTCAAACAATCAACCCGTAAACTTCCATTAGACAAAACCTAGAAATTTTATCTTTGGATTCTACGCCGTAGTTCTACTGTTAATGTCTCAAATTCACAGGAAATATATTAAAGAATATTAATCGTAAAAGTGGGTACAGACTGGTTTGTGGTGGCTATAGTTTAGATTAAGAGATTTTATACCTAGAGGTAGGATGTAGTGTAGCCCTTATCATATCTTGGGAGTATTCTAGATTTGGATAAACTACATGCAGGTATATTCTGGGTGTGATTTAACCTGGGCTGCTCCACTCGTAATCGACAAAAGATGCCGGGTTTTCTCTTTTGAACTTACAAGTCTCATCAGAATTGGTTAAAATAGATTTCTTTTAATTTTTGTTTATATCACATTTTTTATATAAATTAAGAATATCTATCTTGTTGAAAATAATCTTTTTACTTACGGCAGATTTCGTCGCTTCCATCTTTACAGTCTTTCTGAAGATCACACACCTGTTTTTTGTTCACACAGAAATGTCTGTCGCTGCAGCCCTTCATACGTTTTGGACATTCTGAAAATTGTCAAAAACGAATAATTAGTTCCTGATATTACGCAGATATAGAATAATATTATATGAATAATAAAGAGGCAAAATATAAACTTTGCAAGTCGGAATTATTTTTTTATCCTAATTACAGCGCCAAAAACGTCCAAAAAGGATTTTATTCCAACTCTGCAGGCAGATAAAACTAGTTCTGCACCAAGAAAAATATTTCAAAATTATACTCTTCTAACTGTATATGCAGAAAAAAGTTTACCTTTTCCGAAAGGTAAAATATATAAAACTCAATAACGTCTTGAAATTATATTCTTCGAACTGTAAAACAGACATTTTTTGAAAAGAAAAATATATAAAACTCAATACATGAACAATTTAAGAATTAATACTGATTTTTAACTTTTAAGCTTTTAAAAAATTTAATATCGATTTTAAAACATAATAAATAATTCGCCAACAATTTTAGAAATTATTTTCTTCGAACATTATCTGAAAAAAAAAGTATATGAAATAGTTACAGTATTGGAGGAGCTGGAAAAGCGGTCGTTCCTGACAAACTCAACGAATAAAGAATATATTGTTGTACTCACTATGACAATTACAATTAAATAGAATTTATCTGAAGTCAACATAAAATTAATCAGAAATCAATATACTGAAATCATTAAAGAAATACAACTGATGGAAAGCAAGATTTGCATACTGATAAAGAGACAATAACTTGGGATAAAATGTCTTATTAAACTACTTTAATTATTACAGTATAATACGCACTCTTAATTGGTTTATAAATACTTTAATATGTCCAAATGATTATTTTGTTTTGGGCACAAAAAATATGACCAATAATAAAAATTGTCCCTAAGTAATTTTCCAAAATTACTTTTTAGCGAAAGTACACATTAAGTCATAAAAAAGGTTCATTATAATGTGACAGGACAGTGCTTCTGATGAAGTCCTAATAATGCATGAAACGTCATGAATCTGATGGGAGAAGGTTCGGTTTAAAAATATTAAGCAGAACCTTTAAAATGCTTAGTAGAAAGCATCGATCGTATTTGAACCACAAAATAAAAACTAGTAAGATTTCACTATCCCACTTTTCATACCGAAAGAAGTTGTGATGTCAAGATTAATGTGTTTACCAAAATTCTGCAAAACCCAGACGAATTTTGGAAATATTGATTTCACGAACTATCCAGCCAGAACTACATGATTACATGTCGAAACCAGAATCAGGCCTAATTTATCTGTAAACGCGCCATGTCTGGTCCTAAGTACTTTAGAGGCATAACCATTGACTTTGTAATCTTTTTGCATATTGACAAGATCTCTAGTCTTAAAATTTTTCACGTCATTTTGCTTATAACGCTTGAGTCGTTTATGCCTCGGCCTCATCAGAATCCTGTTTATTTCAGAGAAGCAATAAGAAAACTAGAGGTATTACTAGGATAACTCAATAATTACGCAAAGTATCAATATTCGTAGCGGGGGAATAACCTTAATTAGGAAGTGAATTTGAAACCCCACTAACTTGGTAGAACGTACAAAGATGAAACAACCATAAGGAAGGATGTTGAGAAAGGACGCTCCTTGGAAACACACGGACGCCAAAAAAGGATACTGTATTGGTGTCAGATACCCATGCGTCCATAGAATAGGATATTACAATAGACACCTGAAGAAGACCGATGAGTAAGCAGCTGAAATGTTGTAAAGACAAAGACGAAAAAAGTACACCGAAGGATATTTAAATATTTTTATGAGGCTCCAAAATTTAATTACAGAAGTAAAAACACAGGAAGAAAACAGAATATAAAAACGGGGTTGGGTGTTATTTTAAATACGGATATCTACTAAAAATAAAGTTTAAAAAAGTAATACATATATATATGTGTGTGTGTGTGTGTGTGTGTGTGTGTGTGTGTGTGTGTGTATTTCAAATACAAGGTATCTATCAAATACCATATATCTATAAATATATATATATATATATATATATATATATATATATATATATATATATATAGAGAGAGAGAGAGAGAGAGAGAGTTTGTCTGAAGTTATTATGCGACTTACATAAATATTAATAGCTCTAACTCGCTTTAAAAAATTTTTGTAAAATTTTAAACGATGTTTAAAAATAAAAACAATGTGTGAATATGGCAATGAAGATGAGGATAACAGTCTGAATAATGTAAATAATGGAAGTAAATATCATTCAGATCTAAAAACCACTCCGATTTACAGAGGGAGGGCTGTCAAGAGTTAATACATATAATAAGATTTAAATGAAGATCTTAATGGACTTAAAAACTTGTCATTATTGTCGGACTTTAAAACTTGTCATTATTGTCGGGCGACGATGCACACTGAGGATTATTCAATGTATGTTTACCTATCACAGAAGTGGATGTAGTGGCACACTTATGCAAATAAGATATACAAAAACATCTTACCTAATGCTGGACAGCTGCCATAGATAGTGCTAACGTTGGCGATGGATATTTCACACATATTTGTTGAATATGCGTCAAATTTGAGTTGTACTCTTGCTTGCTTGATATAAAATTGTGCTGAGGCCCAAATGCTCTCATTGCTCTGCAACAACGTGAATAGCTTCTGCTGATTTTCGAATATCGTTAAGTTGCAACTGGAACCACGCATTTGGTATTGTAAACGCACACAACTGTCAGTTATATTCACAATTGCAGATTTCAGCGAATATTTACTAGTGGACGCATTAACACTCATTTTGAAGCCTAGAATGAAAACAATAGCAATATGAATATGTATACGTACATAGAAACAAGAATATTTATATAGAATACTTTATATAACAGACAAATAGAGCAGATTGAGATAGATAGATAGATAGATAGATAGATAGATAGATAGATAGATAGATAGAGATGAGATTGAAATAGATAGATATGAACCAATTCGGAGAAATAGATATAAATTGATTAAGATAGACAGATTGATTTGATCCGACAGAGTTAGATATATTAGATAGAAGACATAACACATATATATATATATGTACTCACGCACATACATACATACATAGATAGATAATAAGAGGTAGTTACGAACATAGATATATAGATATGATGAGATTGAAATAGATATGAACCAATTGAGAGAGATAGATATAAATCGATAGAGATAGACAGATATATTTATAAGAACAGACTGAGATTGATATAGTAGATAGAAGACATAACGTATAATATATATATGTGTGTGTGTGTGTGTGTGTGTGTGTGTACACATGCACGTACATATAGAGACAGATAAGAGGCAGTTATGAACATAGATAAATATAATAAGAGAGAGTTATGAACATAATTAGATATGATAAGATTGAAATAAATATGAGCCAATTGAGAGAGATAAATCGATAGAGATAGAATGATATGAGATTGACATAGTAGATAGAAGACATAACATATATATTTTTTTCATCGTAATACCTATCGATATGCGTATATATATTAACCAGTGTAAATATACTATTGATGTCATGTCCAATCAGTCAATCAATCAATCGATCTATCGGAGTGTGTCTCTATATATATATATATATATATATATATATATATATATGGACACACTCAGATAGATTGATTGGACATGACATCGATAGTATATTTACACTGGTTAATATATATACGTATATCGATAGGTATTACGATGAAAAAAAAAGTTTATTAAAAAAAAGAAACATTATTTTACGCAACAAATGAAAATTTAAGAAAAGACATTTACTTTTCTCAACAAATAATCATTTGTCAACATCATCTTCTTCCTTTTCAATGTACTCAATTCAGTAATAAACATTAAATGTGTGGATCAAATATTAAAGAACTTGATCGTCCAGGTCTCCATACATTACTTTTCTTTATTATCTCTGAATTGCCATGTTTTCTTGGAAAAAGATAATGAACTGGTTTTCTCGTTGCCTTCTCCACGTTTTGGAGTTTGGAGGGTTTTTTCTATTTAATTAGTTTGCCGCTCGAGGCTAGTGAACCTAATCTACATTGCTATTTAACCCATAGCTAGGATCGGAGAGAAGAAACGAACTCATGCCTCTGCTAAGAGTATTAATGCGTTCCAATACACATAGAAATGGCGGCAAAAACACCTCCTCCCATACAGATGTATGCTGGGATTTCTTCTTATCCAGTAAGATAGGGCACTTCTCAGCCTCATCCGAATTAATTCTGGTCTTTCTTGTTTTGAAATCAGAACACTGCGATCCCTTGTCTGTATCCCCTTTTATGTGTTAACATCATTCTTACTTTGTGAACCTTTTGCCTTATTACTATTGCCTTGCCTACTTTTGTCTTTCATATATTGTTAGCTGAGTATTATTTTTGTTCTTTTCTTTCTCTTGTTATTGTTCATTGAAAACTTTGTCAATTTTGTTTGTCGGGCATTTCTGACAATTACATGTAACCATGACCAATTACTCTACAGAATATAACCTGACGAGATTGCAATTTGAAACCGGCTGGCCAATTACACAGTAATAACCATGTTTCAAAAACTGAAGCTAAAAACTTCAAATTTAATTATATAATTAAATTAAAAAGTATTAGATCCGTTTCATATTCAAGCGAATTTTGTAATAACATTTATGCTCTGTAAATTTGCACTGTTTTGTAAAAATAAAAATGAAAAATATCAATAAGAACACCGGATTATATATATCTTACTGTTCTTTCTTATATATATATATATATATATATATATATATATATATATATATATATATATATATATTGAATAAAAAGACAGACCACGTTAAGATTCCATGTAATAAGCTATTTCACCATAACCCCTTTAACAGGGTTCTGGATCATCAGACTTTACTTCCAAAAGCTGAGATGAAAAATGAAAAAGAAATTCACGTTTTTTTACGGACCTCATCAAGTATACGCAAAGTTAACGAAGTGAGGAAGTGAGGTGGGAGAGAGGATATGAGTGTGTCATATGTATCATTTTAGTTTCCTATTTTAACCCCAGTGTGTCGGCTGGATGTTGCTCAAATTTCTTCAAATAAGCGCTACAGTATCTGTTACAATGTAAGCAAGATTTCACTACTACTTCATTTCACCCGCAAACAGAGCATATCATTTCGATATTTTTCTACTTCCATGAACCTGGTGATCAATGTTATATATATATATAGTCATCCACAGACAGACTGTTTCGCTGTTTCACAGCTCATTAGTGTGGCTAGACATCCGATTGCCTCAAGCCTGGATCGGAGATTTTAGCCCTTATCGATATTGCCGGCCGGAGAGCTGAGCAGAAATAATTTTTTTCAGGAAAGTGTGAATATAAACCAAATAACGAAATATTAGCAACTGTATATGTTTGCGATAGCGTGCATACGCAGATAAGCAAATAAATATTTATTTTATTTAATTCCTGGTGCAAACAAAACAGTGCTTAATGTAGTTAAACGAAGCTATGAAGTATATATTAATAAATATGAATGTAGATATATGTGTATTTATTAACACTCGCACACACGCACTCCCACATACACATATATATGTTATATATGCGAGGTGTTTATTTGAAAGTGCTCAATATCAGTGCTAGAGCTAACTTATTCAGCTGTATAGCTATGAGTTTGTGACCCTGGGTTTCATGCTTTTGCGATCATCAGACAAAATGGATTATTTTTTTAAAAATGAATCTATTTAAGCTTGTTTGATTATGTTTGGTGGTGGGAGGGGGAAATCTTCCTCTGTGTCCGTTTTGGGATGATACTCTTACAGACACAGACATACATACATACAGGTGTACGCGTTATAGTTCACACAAACATACCCATATAAATAATTCGTGATTAGGCACAGATACGTTCGAGCATACATACACAATTGTAATCCTATTTTGGTATTGAGACTGTATATAGCGAAGTTCTTTCAACAAAGGGCAGGTTGAAGTGTTCTTGGCTCTTTTCAGATCGGCCGTCTCCGTCGTCAAACAAAAATACGCTTCTTTACATACACATACACACATGCAGACTTGCCCCTACACTGCGATCTGTCTGGGCCTTACATCACCATATTGGTTAAGTGGGTTCTGTTTGTGGATATGGCGATGATGATGTATTTCATTTTCAACGCTGACTGCTTGTGTATTATTGACGTCAATAACACCAAACATAATCAAACATAAACAGGCATAAATAGATTCAATTTAAAAAAAAATAAAGCAGTTTATCTGATGATCGCGAAAGCGTGAAACACAGAGTTACAAACCCATATCCATACAACTGAATATATATATATATATATATATATATATATATATATATATATATATTAGAGAGAGAGAGGATAGTGACTAAAATAGGTTTAAGCACTAAAAATAATGTTTCTTGTAATAAGAAATAATGTCAGACAGAAAATCTATTCAAAAATGACTTCACATTACATCGATCACCAGGCTTGTGGAAGAAGGCAAGGATATGCATCATTTTCTGAAACGAATATCATTTTTTAATTACTAACGAAAGTGGAAATACCACTTCTGTTCATGGGATTGTTGAATACGCCCTGATCGTGCTTGTGGGTGAAATGTGGTAATAGTGAAATCCTGTTTACATGGTAACAGATACTCTAGCGTTTATCGACGATATAATACATAGGCACCCCAACACAATGACCAGTGCGGGTCAGAAGCGTCACGGATTCGGGTTTTTTTACGACAAAATCTTTACTTTTTATTTTTGTTCTTATTAAATAAAGTCAATGAAATGAATTCACTATTGTACAAAACAAATCGTAAACATAAAATAAATATATTTAAAAAAAAGAGTTAGATTTGTTAAATTTTCAATATACACTATTAAAAAATGTCAACATTTGTACATTGCTTACTTCCCTTTAATGTGTTCTAAATGCTAATGTAGTTACCACATTCAGAACTGAAACTTGAATAGCTAAATAATTCAACGATGCAATCAACATAATAATCGCTTATTTAACAGGTCCTGCAGCGTATATTGAAAGCAGCTGTATAGTATCTTTATTACAAGAGTTATTTGGAGAGAGTATCCAAAAGAAAGCCAGTTTATATTCGGCAAAAATTGAAAAATGGAAATGTGGGACAGAATATTAAAGTGTTAAAAAATTGTTATCAGTATGTGCTGAATTTTCAAATACTGGATTAGTGTACATTTGTGGACTTTCTTACCAAGAAAGTTTTTTCAATAATCAAGAGTGCCCTATGAAATATGGCGCATTTGTGGTTATGTATTTTACGAAGCAGTTTTAAGCATCAGTCATTCAAAGATGTCTTTCCAAGATCTACTCACGTTTATTTGAACAAAATCAAAAATCTCTCCGTGGACAATGGGGTTTCAATGCTTCTTCTTCTATGTGCCGTGTCCTTGCAGGACGTGGCCGATCAAGAGCAACACGTCTTTACTATTAACTAATGATCAGTGCGTTTTCTGCAAATGTTTTCTGTGTGCTTCCAACTGTCAATAATACTAATCCACGTTAAACTTCTCTCCATTAATCGTCTGAGAGACCCTTCACTGTCTTCCGTGAGTATGGCTGATGCTAACCTCCAGGAAAGTGACTTGTTGCATCTTCTCGGACTAACGTTCTCAGCTGACATGAAGTGAAAAGACTACATTGAATCCATTGTTAGGTCAGCTGCTAAAAAAGTTGGTTCACTGTGCCGTGCGAGAAAATCTCTCTCTCCAGAATCTATCTTACATATCTATAAG